TAAATAAATAAATAAATAAATAAATAAATACATACATACATACATACATACATACATACATACATAAATAAATAAATAAATAAATAAATAAATAAATAAATAGGAATTCCTCTATCATTCGTGTTTACAAAATGCCTAAATGCAGATCAGAGGAAATTCTATATAGACTGAAATATAAACAACAGATGTTACTCCCAAAACCTATGTTTCTCAAAATGCCAATTAAATTTACTCCTTTTCTTCCTCAAAGGACCTCAGGGAAACATATATTTTCTCAGGATCCATTCAACCATAATCTTCTCTTCAAAATGAACCTGTGAGGTGTGGTTAGGCTGAACGATAATCAACAGTCTGTGGTTAATTGGTGAACTTCACAGCTGGATAGGAAGTTAAATCATGTTGAATCTGATTTCGACCACCTAACCACTACACCACACTAGCTCAAACCAGCCAAATGCACTAGCTATTTGTATGTTAAATTGGAAACATACTAGGGAATTCTACTATTGTATCATAACAGTAATTATTGCAGTTAAAAAGAAATTCTTGAATGTAATATTAAACACAAGTACTTGAGAAAGTTTCTGTAGTGTTCAAGAAGGCAAAAGAAACATAAAGAAAGGAAGACAGAAAGGGCAACTAAGAGCAATTTGCTTCAAAGGCTCGAATACTTTCCATTTTTCATTTTCCAGGAGGAATAAGAGCTTCCAGGCTCATGGCTGATTTTTCTAGAGACCAAATTGAATCTTTTGTTGAAATGGATCATTGTGAACAGTTGGAAATCACTACAGCAAAAAAAAGAGAAGGCAGTGGTTCATTTCTTGTGACAGGTAGTTAAGGATTTCAAGTCCCACTGCAACTGTATTTGCCACCTTTAATGAACAGGGTGACAAGGTTTCTGAGTGCCCCGACATCAAGTTTCAAAGGTTAATTCAAGTGCAGTGAAAGAGAAATTGACTCAGCTGCTAAAGAATGACAGCTTTAGTTTGTAAGTTCTTTACATAACAGTCAGCCTTTCTCTACATGCAACTGTATAACCTCCCCTTGTTCAGCTGCAAGTCCTGTTCTAAAGTGGCCTTCCTCAGCTGCATTATTTATCGATGCACGTGTTTTAGCAAAACCGAAGAATTCAGAAAGGAGAAACTTTCCCAGTGCTTCCCAGTGTCTAATTTTGTTGTTTTTGTTTAGTCATAAAGTCATGT